GATTCAACACAGTCAAAGCATTTAGACATGGATTCATCAAATTCTGGATTCATGTTCATGTCAGCGTTCTTGTATTCGCTGATAATAGCGAGCATTTCAATATGACTGTTGTGCTTCAACATGTCATTTATGATGTCCATTTGGTATTTCTGGCGTCTAATAACAAATATACGTACAGAGTTATTGTTTTTCAGGGAGTACATAATTGACGCCAAATTGGTTTGGTTGTCATAGTCGAACAAAACAAAATAACACAAATTTGTGGTTTGTTCGAGAGCTTTAAAAAAAGCGTTATTATTAACACTAACTGTGTGCAATTTATTGATATTCGTATTATGTTTAAGTATATTTGCTATACTATCTCCATCTTTGGAAGATACATATTCGAATGCAGCTACAAAAGTCAATGAAGTTAATCGTGCATGATTAATAATTTGAACAGTTATGTAAGTGAGCAGCTTTCCCGCGACATCATCAGAACTTAATAAAGATAGTGAATGTAATGATTTATTCAATTTTATTTTTGATAATTCGGATACAAAAGATAAATTGTATTTTCCCATGGCATTAAGAAGCAATGATAATGATGATGTAGTAACTCCAGACTCGTCCAGTAAATCGTACACTGCAAGTTCATCATGCTTAGAAGAGATGGTGGATGCTAAAGCAGCATGACCAACACTTTTATGTTTTAAAAAAGAAAAACAATTTTGAATAGAAGAACCTGCAATCAATAAATCAGTTGAATGTAAATATTTGTATTCTGGCAGTATACTCTCAAATAATTCTGGAAAATTTGAAAACGTATGATCTAATTCAAGTTTTTTTAATTTTATCGACTCCTTGTTACAGTATCGGATCACAGATGTCAATCCATATATCGCTACATATTTTTCCACCAACTCCATATTAAATCTCATTTCGTTGTTACGAATAATTGTTCTCACAACCTCACCAACAATTTGACTTTCCTGAATATGATACAAGCAAATAAATGCCAAGCACGTCAGTCTTTCAAACAATTCAGTATATGTATTCTGCACTGATTTTATGTTGTCAATTATTTTCCTGAATAGCAGCGGTACTTCATCGCGTCCAAGCAAGCCTGCTAAAAATTCACAAACCATGTAAAACCCTTTTTCCGTTATGATATAATGGATACATTCTTCACTAACTTTTTTCATACATGCATACAAATAATATGCAGCCATAAATTCTTGTAAGCTTTTATATTTGAAAGCATAGATTTGTTGATACTTAATTCTCGCAGTGCTATACTCAAGATTAAAATAGCCAACTGCTAAATCCGATTCAGTGATCTTGTATTGATCTAGAGACCCTTGGTCAAAACGAAGTTTGCCCTCTTTTAGACCGTTATATGCCAACTCTCCGAGTCGTGATTTCAAACTTTTAAATTCTGGAGAGTCGTCGTCGCTAATTGTCGGAGAAATAGGTATACTGTGTTTCAGACAATATCTTTTATATACACAAAACGTTAGCTCATGATATAGCTCGGATAATGTACTTGGAAACTTGCCTTCAAGGTCCTCGTATAGTACACATATAAGAACTAGAATTAGTGGTGTTGAGACATATGAAGTCATGTTCCAGTCTGTCACGTCTTTCTTCAGCTTGTCAGCTAGTTCCTTTTTTTCTTTGTTAAAAAACTTCTGAATATATGAGTTGATATTATCATCAGTGAGCCCTTTCATAATATAATGTTTATTCACACGACGAATGAGTTGTAAGCGCCCTATTGTTCGAGATGTAATTATCACCCTGCATTTGCTGAAAATCTTTCCTTCAATTAGTTTAAAAACTTCGGTCTTAAATGTTTCGTTTAATTCGTCTGCCCCATCTAAAAGTATCAACACTTTGTGTTGATTTGTGCGAAGGAAGTTATTCAAAGTATGTTTATCAATGTTTGAATCTTCTGGAAGTAACTGATCAAAAATTAGATCGATTATAGTACTATACTTTGTGATTTGTCGCAATTCAAGTAACAATACCAAATCGTATCGTACCATTGGTTCTGTCTCATTAGCCCATTCTAAAGCTAGCTTTCTAAGAAGTGTACTCTTACCACTTCCTGCTTCTCCTTCCACTAAGATGCGATGATTCAGGTTGTCTTGACACAAACATTGCTGAAAATCAACATCTGTAATTTCATCACCACGTTTAGTTCTTTCGCTGAATTCCAATTGTGTATAGACATCCTCTAAGTTCAGCTGAAATCCATCTTCATACCATGGTACAGGCTCCACATAGTTCATTCTATCTTTATAATGTTTCCTAAGTTCTTCTGCACAGTCATTTGTATCAAGCCAATTTCGTTCGTCTGGAGTAAAATTAAAAATTCACAGAATATTCGAATTAGGATTAAGAAAGTATTATTATATACTCATAGCTACTACATGATATGCGGTGGCGTTGTATGGAAACTCTGTGTAAAGCATGCTATGCCCAGTGACAATTGTTTTGTATTAACAAAATGGAAGTGTCAGTAAATCTGCTCAAACCGACAAGACAAGTGGCACAGGGTTACTAATATAGCAATGGGATATTGATGTACTGCAGGTATATTCAGACCCTCACCGGAAAATGTAATCTTTTGAAAAATAAATACATTTAAAAACTAGAATAATTTCACGTTTCCATATCTAATATGCGATTTATTATACTTTCATTTCGAACCATCAATTACGGTTATATCATCTTAATTAAGTTTTAGACTAGTTCTGTCAATAATTTTTATGCATTTTAACAATAAGAAATTGTCTGGCCATTGAACGAGTTTTGTTTTGAGAAAGGGGTTAGTTGGTGTCGTCACGATTAAAAACTTTGTGCTAAAAATTGTGTGACTAATCCGATTCACCGCCCAGGGGTGTAACATAAAACAATATTACATGCCTATATGTCACTGCTACTGATAATAAGTAGGTATAATATGTGTTCATACGTTATTTATGTGGTTGGGTGTATGTAGAGGTGTGTGTTTGGTTGTTTGCATTGATTGAATAAATGATTGATTGAGTAATTCATTAAAATAATTCACATTCTGGCGATCTCATTGCCAGTATATGTGATGCTCCAGTCAGATGCACCCCATGAACAATATTTGTAATATAATTCACAGTAGTTGACGGATTTTGGTTTAAACATTCTGAAAATAATTGAATTTACTAAAAATGTTAAAAGTAATTCTTTTAGTATAGCTGAAGTTATACAAGTGAGGATGGTTACCAAATGTGAAAGTTTCATACATAAACATTATAACATAATGTGTTGAAATTAAAAAAGAACATATTTGGACATTGCAGTTAAGAACGTGAGAAGCTATTGAATTATTTGTCTTACACACGATATACATTTGAATAATAACTAATAATAACTAACGTTACACTCAATAGATGCAGTTGAAAAACATGTTGCTTACTTGTTATCTTGTCAGTTAGGCGTCTTTCCATGTCTTCATATTTCGCCATTATTACCTTTCTGTAATGAGAGTCGTCTCTGCATAGTTGTATGATCTCCATTAATAATTCCAGCCACGTTGTAGGATCGAGTGACTGTGTTTTGTATTTTTCAATATCAGGTGTCTTACAGCCAAGTCGAATCAATATATTAGAAATATCACTCCAGTGCTGGGTAAACTGCATGTCTGAAATTTTCGTGCTGACAATATGACCATATAATTCATTGCGAAATTGTTTCAACCGAATCACATCAGCTATAACTGAGTTGTCATTGGGTTGAGGGTCCTTATTCCACCCTGACCAATTAGGTGGTTTTAATTTACAGAGATTTCTGATCAACACAACCAATAGTGTAATGTCAATTTTTTCTAATGAGGGATTCTGTCCCGCTGGTGGGTAAAGTAGGTCGTATTGACGTTGATTGAGAATTTTCTTACGTAGCAGTTCATTGAACATTTTAGAGTTTCTTGTTGTATTCAATACTTGCTGTAGTGTGCCAGGTGGACAGTTATTATCAAAAACTCTTCTCATGCAAAGTGTCCCTTCATTTATGAGAAGTGCGCTTAGTCTTGCACCATTAAGCGTATCATTATTGTAAACCCATTTTTCGGAAAGTGGAGCAGCCGCCATCTTTATTGTAATCGTAATCTAATGACAACAAAGAAATAAACAGAGAAATATGCTGTTACTAGATACGAAGACTAATGGCTGTAGTTCCTCTGTAGAATATACAACTACATGATTTAATGTTCACATAAGAGTTACGTACGGACAACAACCATACACATTGCGAGAGTCGGTATATTATTTGTAAAGAAAGATAATGCAAAATGTGCATGCAAGGTTGTTATGGATATGGATAAAGTCACAATCATGGCAAGTGAACCACCATCACAATAACGGTTCCGAAATGACAGCATGTAGTAAAGGCCGTCACAGTGACTAGTTAGAAATGGATTTGTCATATGTAGGAAAATTATATGTAGATTTTTCTACACGTATATAAAGCCATGTTAGTAAGTCACAGTTCCGAATATTATCGGCATTGAAAACATGTGTCAAAATAAGATTATGTTTAGTTGTTGTATAATTTGCATATTAGGTAGCTATTTTAATATTGCTGTTCTTGATGACTTTAAAATGGTCCACTTCCAAACTAGTTAATGCCAAATTAATTATACTATCAGGATGTGATCCTTTCTAGCCATAAATAGCTGCACGATATAAGAGACAAGCTTTGTAAAATGTTACTCTTTTCCCATACACAAGACTGCAGCTTTTAAGTAAAGCATATTTTATTGTCTTGGATAATTACATAATATATTAACATATATCAACATTTCATCGTATAAAAATGCTTAGCTAAAATAGTCATATGTCAAGGAATGCCAAACTCAGTAGTTTAAAATGTTAGAACTTCACTGTAACTTTCCACTTAAATAACACATTAAAATAAAGTATTTACTTTTCGTGATATTCAGTTTGAATAAATGTGGATCTGGGTCAACTTTGCACTAGCGTATTTGTCTCCAGGATAGCAGCGGACAGATTCAGATGGAAACTCCTTGTTTCGCCTCAAGCGCCATGGGTACAAGGTACATACAATTAATGAGTGTCACGAATCACCAGTGTGTAAAGTTTAACATACAATACAATACAATACAATGCGTGAGTTTATTATAAGTTACATATTAGTAGCTGTTCATTGCAATGTCCATAACTCCATATCCCTTTGCGGTGCACGTATGCTTACAGTGGCAAGGTGCTTTGCATAGTCGTTAGTGGAAATCATATTGTGACTGCATATTCTATGTTCCGCTTAGACCGTTTTATTTACAGTACATTAGGTCCTATGACTACAGTCGGACACAGATTCGTCTATATAAGGCACACGACGTAGCGATGACCCAATTTCATTCAGCGGCGTGGTGGGGGGTCGTCGATCTTTTAACAAGCGACGAACACAGGGGCCTGACAATCTATTCGTCTCAATGCATGGACGTATATGGGACCGAGCGACTATGTCAAGGTACAGAACCTTGCCCTTGCTCAAAATACTAGAAATTTTAGAATTAAAACAGTTTAGTAATGTGACGCAAGCATATGTTATTAAATTTAATCATCACGCTTTGAGATAAATTTGAAGCATCCTGTTTGATATTTCAACTAAATCGAGAAAATCAGGTTAGACAATATAGAATTGTATATAAATGAGTATGCATAGTTGAGAATTTCAAACTCTGGCAGCAAAAGAAAGGAAATGCAGTCCTGGCGTTTGAGGGCGTGCACGCATGCGCAGATTGACACAACCTGAAGGCTGGTAACCAGAGAATATAAATAGTCAAATTTTGTCATAAATGCTTAAAATCTGAAAAAATATATGATTTATATATAATCGGACAACATTTTACGATAGTCCAGTGTCTTATAAGCACTCGTAACTGGTTTGGACAAGGTATTTTGTATTTTGAGGTATGATTTTCGGCAGCTAGAAAAATGTGTGCATATTTTGTTTCCTCCCTTGTCTTATATATAGTCCAAGCTGATCAGCCGGAAACAAATATTAGTGATTTTCGTGGTTTCGAAGCATGATGATTAAATTTAATAACATATGCTAGCTTTAAATTACTAAACTCTTTTAATTCTATAATTTCTAGTATTGTGAGCAAGGGCAAGGTCCTGTACCGGGACATAGTCGCTCGGACCCATAGACGTCCACGCATTGAGACGAATAGAACGTCAGGCCCCTGTGGCGACGAAAACACGTCAAAACAACACGCTACAGTGTACTCACAAGTTCGTCGATTTATTCCTTCAAACTCAATACTCTCTTCGGGTCTTTACAGTTGTCACACTACGGCTAAATACCCATAAAACGATTTTCTGTTTCCTAACTTGCACAACACAGGCGATATCTTATACACATAAACCGGAACCCTTAAGTTAGTGAAAATAAACATGACCCACCAGCTACGCTATGAGGTTCGATATGGCTTCACGTCCCACACTGAATTAAAGCGAGCACAAACTAAATTAAAGCTCTACGTATACGATTTTGGCGTCTACACATATGTGGCTCTTTATGTGTTTCTAATGTGCTGGTAGTTTATACTAATGTCGTCTGCATTCACATGTCTAGCTATAACAAATTGCTCCTGTACCAAATTCATAACAAGCAGCCTATCGGCTGAGATAGCTCCGCTGTTAGAAATGCACATTTCAATTAAAGAACTGAAGACATCATCAGAAAATGAACAATATGTATAGTATCAAAGCAATCGGACTTACAGTTTTTAACAAGAAGTCGAAAATATCACTTTCTACCAAAAATGACTAAAATATTCACCAAAATTAGAGAATTGAAGATATCACGAAATGAACAAATCTGAGAAAGGTCTACATGTAGTATCTATATATGTAATATCAAAGCAATTGAACTTTTGGTTTTTAACAAGAAATCGAAAATATCACTTTTTACCAAATATGACAAAAATATTCACCAAAATTATAGAATCCAAGATATCATCACGAAATGAACAAATCTGAGAAAGGTCTACATGTAGTATCTAAATATGTAATATCAAAGCAATTGAACTATTGGTTTTTAACAAGAAGTCGAAAATATCACTTTTTACCAAAAATTACAAAAATATTCACCAAAATTAGAGAATTGAAGATATCATCACAAAATGAACAAATCTGAGAGAGGTCCACATGTAGTACCTATATATGTAATATCAAAGCAATTGCACTTGCGGTTTTTAACAAGAAGTCGAAAATATCAGTTTTTACCAAAAATGACAAAAATATTCACCAAAATTAGAGAATTGAAGATATCATCACAAAATGAACAAATCTGAGAGAGGTCCACATGTAGTACCTATATATGTAATATCAAAGCAATTGCACTTGCGGTTTTTAACAAGAAGTCGAAAATATCAGTTTTTACCAAAAATGACAAAAATATTCACCAAAATTAGAGAATTAAAGATATCAACATGAAATGAACAAACCTAAGAGAGGTCTACCCAAGGTACATATACACCAAGTATCAAAGCATTTAGGCTTGTAGTTTTCAAGAAGAAGTCGAAAAAGTAAAACATTGACACGAACGACGGACGACGACGACGACGACGATGACGACGGACAATCACTCATATGATAAGCTCCGCTCGACAAAGTCGACAGCGGAGCTAAAAAGCCAGACACAGAGAGAAAAAAATGCAAGCAGGGGAAACATTGCAAAAAAAAAAATTGCATGAGTCACACCCCCACATCCCTCATGATTTTAAATGGTTGACCTCTTGGTGAACACAAACTCTACAGATATATTTTATGCATATACAACGCTTAAACACTACAACCAAATTTTCACTTGCCCTTTGTTATTGACTTCAGATTTACCGATACCAGTCAACTAAATGTAGTTGCAGTTCGTAAACAAATCCACCTTCCCACAATCCTAACTTTGTCCAACAATGTGCGCTGGGGTCTTTCCGCTGTTTTTTTGTTCTGTATAA